ATAGATAGATAGATAGAAATATTCAGATGATAGATAGATAGATAGATAGATAGATAGATATTGTCAGATGATAGATTTAGATAGATAGATAGATAGATAGAAATAGTCAGATAGATAGATAGATAGATAGATAGATAGATAGATAGATAGATAGAAATAGTCAGATGATAGATAGATAGATAGATAGATAGATAGATGAGTTTTAATGAGTTTGAATGGGTTCGAAATTGTACATAGAAGGCAAGTCTGATTGAGTCTAAAGGGCTTCAGCGTGTTTAGATTTGAATTTTGACAGTTGGAGTCTGACGGAATGTTCAGGTGAGCAGAGACTCTTCAATGTAAGTCTATGGGATTTTTATGATTTGTAATATTCATTTTTATGAAAACCGTAAGTCCAATCAGTTAGAAAAGATATAGCAACTAACTTCAGATCAGTCTGAAGATATGGGCTGAGTTTGGAGTCTGTAGAGTTAAAGCTCTAGGAGGAGTTAGAGTTGATAATTTAGTCTCAGAAGAAGAATAATAACTAGATAAAAAAGTTCGAGCATGTCGCTAGCATGTTTCTAGCATGACTAGCATGTTGCTAGCATCATTAGCAAGTTACTAGCATGTTGCTAGCATGTTTCTAGCATGATTAGCATGATTAACAAGTGACTAGTATCTTGCTAGCATGATTAGCAAAGTGACTAGCATGTCGCTAGCATGATTAGCAAATGATTAGCATGTCACTAGCATGATTAGCAAGTTACTAGCATGTTGCTAGCATGTTTCTAAATATACAACCTTTGACAAACAAAACACTATAGGCAAGTGCATAACATTGTATTCAGAAAAGAACAAGTAAACCCTAAAGCTAGATCTGACTTGCAGGGTGAGATATCAACTGGGATCATGACACTTTTTGGCAGCCGGATGCTGTACAGCCCCAATTGTAGAACTGAAACTCAAAGAAACAAAACAGAACAAATGAGCTGGGAGAAAATATCTTATTCTTAAAGTAATACACTGTGGGTTCTATGAAAAGTTGATTTCCCATCATTCTCTAGTATATCTGAGGCAATAATGGTGCTCTCCATATCGATCCTAATTATACCCACTGAACAGAGTCCGCAATCTCCTGCTCCTCCTCCATGGAGACTGAAAAGATGGAAAAATCAGCATCTCATCCAGAGACCTTGATCATGTTTGGAATAATGGCACAACAGACAGTGAGTCCCTGCAACAATTACAAGTTCTATGAAAGGCTATACAAGTAAACCAGAAATGACAATGAGGAAAAGAGTGTGGTTCTGGATCTTATGCATGAAAACCCAATAGCTTTGTTCCAAAACCTAGTAAGTTGCCTCCGCAGGCATCATTTTAAGGCAACCTATGCAACCCTAATCCTCCTAAGATACCTTATTTTGGCCAAAACTTAAGGCAGAATCACAAGTATCAATTCCAAAGTATGCATGTAATAAGTTACAAGTACAGAGAAAAAATAAATAAATAAATCCAGGATGACGACCGATGCAAGTGAAATGCTGATTATACATATATGAATGGTCTGCTGCCTGAAAATAACCAATTATAAATTCATACACTGCAAGAACAACAAAAAACAAAAACAAATGAACAAACAAACAAACGAACAGCAGAGCACAAATTCAGCTGCTATAAATAAATTCAGGTGAACTGATTTGAAACTGAAACATTTTTAAACAACTCAATTGCAGAACAACTCAATCTTCATAACAGATTTATTCATACATACATATATAATGAACTGTAAATATGCATCCCTCTGGTGTATTTATAGCTAATTAACTGACCAACCAACTGTAAACAATGAATAACTTTCCTGAGGTAATTGCAACATTAAGTGACATACTGACAAGCTATTGACGTCTTTCAGACGTTGATAAAGTAGTTGAGTGAGACATACATTTTGCTAACCTTTCAACTTCTGATGTTCATGCATGTTCATTTCACGCTATAACTTGTATTAAAGTGGAAGCGATGACTTGACGCTGTCACGATCTTGGTGGGGTCTGCTTAGGCTTTGTAGTCATGGAGCACAAGGCCTTTTGTTTTGAGGGCTCGCCATGTGCTCTGCTGTCATCATGGTGTTTACCCCGCACCTCTTGTTATCCCTGTTAGCTAATTCTCCCTCCTCACCTGCACCCCATTTTGTCCTCATTATCTTCCCTTTATCTTGCCCTCATGTTTGCTGTCTTGTGTCAGTCCGTAATGTGTTGTTCTGTAGCTCAGATTGTCTCAGTGCATGCTGTGTTTTCTGACCCAGTCTTGTTTTGTTTATTTTTCTAGTCTAGTCGGTCTGGCGTTCCTGTTTTTGTCACCCTCCCCTTTTTACCCGCCTGCCCCTCTAGTACTCTGGTCGGCTCTCTGCCTAGGCTTTCTCTTATCATAGGCCTGTCTCTTCACAGCAGCCCCTTCCGATTCCTCTCTGCCCACGCTCGGCACTACCTTTGGAATTCAGTGGCGGCTTTCAATTGCCGGCTCGCCGCCTCTCTTCTCCGCGGGCTCGGCAGAGGCTGGTTTGACCTCTGTGCTGATCAAGCTGACTATTTGCTGGCGGATTTGCTATCCGGCTGATTTATTGACGGAGCATTTTCTGTTATCACAGTTTTCAATAAACTTTGAATTTTTTGTTTCACCTGCTGTTGGATCCCGGTCTCGTTTCTGACAGACACCCTCCGCTCTGAACTGAGGCGGATAAAGCAATCTGTCAGACCACATTTAAGAGTGTCATAATGGTATTCATTGTTCTTTGTGATTAAATGGACAGAATTTGACAGCAAATACTTATATAATGTTATTTTATCATGAAGTGTCCAACATGCCATGCTTTTTTTTTTTTTTTTTTTTGGTGAATCATCCGGGTATTTAAAGTGCACCTTTTCTTTTTTTGGGAATTGTCAATTTGAAAACATTACTCACACTATTTATATTACAAACCATCATAGACTAGTGCATAAGTACGCAATTTGGGACGCACCTAATGTTTGCTGAAGGGAAAAACTGCACTCTGCAGACTTCTTTTTAACCTATACAGCTTTTTACAAATACAGAGTTCTGGCATGAAACTCTAGATGGCGCAGTCCGATAGGTCTAGCTCAATCTGACCTGGTGACATCATTGTCACATGGCAGCTGATTGGTTCTCTCCTGTATCAGTAGCCAATGAGCTCGCTGTTCAATATTCAAATACCTGGATTTTGTTTGCTGTAGCAGTTGGCAGCGCACTTCAGAGCAGCCTAAATCAACATCTAAGATAAATGAATGCTCTTTTAATCCATGTCGCTGTGTATATTTGCGTGGTCCGCCTAGTTGAATACAAAATGAGCAACCGTAAACAATTTTAAACTAAGTGTCATGTTAGCAGTTTGCATTGAATGCAGCAGCAAAATATTAAGCAGCAGCATTTAGCATATTTATACATCTGGAGCAAAAGGCAGTTTAGAGCTTGTAATCGCTCTGAGGACACATTAATTGTGGAACATGAAAACAGGTTGAATGAAATAAGCATTCTTGTGTATGCATTTCAACTGGGGTTCTCGATATACATCGGCAATTATCCCAATGTTCACGTTCGTTATTTCTAAGGTTAATGTTTTTATTGTGATGAGTGTGTGGTTGATTTCAGTTACACGCAGCGTCAGAAGCATGCGCTTATCACAGTCATATCAATGATAGTGTTGCGGGAGAAGGGAATTAAGAGTTATCGCTATGCTTGTTGCAGTTCCGAGTGAAATGCATTATGGGCAGGGGCGTGAAGTAACGAATTACAAATACTCACGTTACAGTAATTAAGTAGTTTTTATCAGTAATTGTACTTTTTTGAGTAGTTTAAAAATGTTGTACTTTTACTTTTACTTGAGTACATTTTAAGTGATGTATCGGTACATTTACTCCGCTATTTTCCTCCGTTTGTAGTTGTTACATGCTTATTTTAATTTCATTTTTATACCCAGGAGTTTGTGCATTGTAACCCTGATAACTTTATCTACACAAGAGAGTAAAATGGCATGCATTGGCTAACTTTGTCCGTCTCATCATTGCACATACACAAATTAACGAGCTGTTATGCTGCCGCTGGGACTGATGAAGTGTAGAAAATAACAGCAGATATTAAATGACTAAATTATGATATTTGCTCAGGTGGATGCTGGGGTCTTATCTATCGGATTGCAACGTATATCCATTTTGTTAATTTACATTACACACAGTGCACGTCTAATTAGAGTTAAGCCGGTCGGCGTGGTAGCCAAGGCTCACATAGTCGTAGGCCACTATTGTTAAGCCGGTCAGCGTGGTAGCCAAGGCACACATAGTCCTAGGCCACTAGCGTTAAGCTAGTACAAATGTCTTGGCGATAGATCTGCTTTGTGGGGGATGTCTTGTCTTTCCTTCTCTGTTCATCTTCATGTGTGTGGATACATGCGTGTCCAATGATGCAGCAGTTTATCCTTATATTCAGCGGAATGCATATATTGGCTTGTATTGTTTTGTGTAACGTGTCTCCTACTTTGTGGGGGTTGTTTATATGTGTTATATGTGCAGCAGCAGTATTTCTTACATGCTTACAGCAGCATATTGTGGATGTATTGGCAGTAGCAAGTCTTGGTAATTGCTCTGCCCGAGCAGCAGCAGCAGCAGCGTAGCAGATCTATTCCGCCAAGACCAAATACATTAACATTGTCTTGTACATTACCATGTCAATCCCTCCGAGAGTTGTCATGACAGAACTTAATTTCACCATTTCTTTCTTTCTTTGAGATTGCGTTTATTTGATAGGTTGTCATATATATTTAGTTTTGGGTTAAACTTCAACCCAAATGTATTGGCACAAAAAACAGGTGCCTATACATTTCTGAAAAATGGTATTACGTTGCTTCTTGGACTTTCAAGTCGCAAAGTGAAATTGTGAGTAAACTGCACTAAAAGCATGTTCAGTAATGTTATTTGAAACAGATGAATGTGAACTCTGACTTGTTATTATGTTGATGTAATATGTGTCATATGTCATACGCATTGTAGCAGTTTAGAAATGAAATGTCGGTCCCACTTTATATTAGGTGTATTTAAATGCTACGTACTAAATAATAAAATAATGAATTGTTAGGTACAATGTACCTATTGTGCTCATGTTGACTTGAAAAACAGTTCTGCTGCTATTGAAATGGGATACGGGTAAGGTTAGGAGCAGGTTCGGTGGTATCATAGGCGCCAATCCCGTGGCTCCAGGGCTCGAGCACTCACGGAAAAACGCCAGATATGCGCCATTAATTTGAACCCAGTTATATATTATTGTGTGTGCATAATATTTCTTATAAAAGCTGCCGATATGCTTTACGTTAATTTCTTATGATTAAGCTCCATTTTTTTAACTGAAGATTGGGAGAAATGTGAATCATTCGTTAGATTTTAACTATTCGTTAAGTAAGAATGTCAAAACGTTTTAAATTATTATTTATTATTTATGTAGAGCTGCATTTTTTATTTTTATTTTTTTAGGTATGCGTTTCTTTTGCCAATCATGATTTAAAACTTAGCATATATAATATTTTTCTTAGAAGCTGTCAATATGTTTTATATGATTGTTTTTGTGTTTGGTTGTGTCCATCTTGTGTTCGTGTTTGTAACTTGTGTCTTGTGTCCGTTTTTGTAACTAAGAATCTGGAGCAATATAATTATTTGTTCTATTTTAGCTAATTGTTAATTGAGAATATTATGTTTAAGTCATTATTTGTTCATGCAGAGATGAATTTAAAAAATGAAAAGGTGTATGTGTTTCTAACCAATCTGTATACGCTAAAAAAGATGGTTCTTTAAAGGTTCTTTACATGCAGTAATGGTTTTATTTAGAACCATAGCATTCTGAAGAACCCTTTCATGCTGAAATGGTTCTTTGTGTTAGAGTTTAGGGTTCTTTATTCCCACCCTTTTGTTTTTCAAATCTGTAACTGTTAAAGGTCCTCATTACTGATTTTCTGGAGTTCAGTGATCCAACTACAGACTGTCAACACACTCTCAACAGGTAAATTATTTCACTCTTAAAATTTTTATACAAATTTAACTTTAAAAATGTAACTGGTTTCCAAACAAACATGTTCTAATCTCTTTTTTTTTTTTGTCACATATAAGTGTCGGGTCTCGGTCTGATCACCTGTTATTTGCTGTCTCTGTGTTTGGGAGGTCTGTTGTTGTTGTGTTATCTTGTGTTGGCTTGTTTTGACAGCTTGCCACGTGCGCATTGTCAGCATGATTGTTTCCTCGCCCTCCTTGTTTCTCTGCTCGCTAGATTCTTGTTTCACACCAGGTTTTTGTTATCTCATTAGCTTCCCCTTATAGCTCCTCGTGTTTCTCTGTCTTTTGTCAGATTGTTGTGATTATTCCCTTGCTCTGACTGTCATAGTTAGTATTGCTTACCAGTCCTGTCTTGTCTCGTTCAGGCTCCAGTGCTCGTAGCTGCCTGTATATTTAGTCCGCTTCGATGCGGCGGGTCCACAGTCAGCTGATGTTGAGCCCATGCAACTGGGTCGTCTCTGGCTTACGCCGCAGCAGAAGCAGGAGCGTTTAGCTCAAGGATTGTGCCTGTACTGCGGCAAGGCTGAAGAAGCTGTCGCCAAGTGGCCAGTCCCCGACTCCCGTAAGACCCTGCAGCGTTTCCTGGGTTTTGCCAACTTCTATCGGTGATACATCAGGAATTTTGGTCAGATCGCTGCTCCGCTCACGGCATTAACCTCCACCAAGGTGTCCTTCAGGTGGAACCAGGATGCTCAGGTAGCCTTTGACACATTAAAGTCCCGTTTTGTCTCTGCACCTGTTCTGTTGGTTCCAGATCCTGAGTCCCAGTTCATTGTCGAGGTTGACGCATCGGACGTTGGGGTTGGCGCAGTTCTATCTCAGAAATCCCTCCACGACGGGAAGGTGCACCCGTGTGCTTTCTTCTCTCGCCGTCTCAGCCCTGTAGAACGTAACTACGACATTGGCAATAGAGAACTGTTGGCAGTGAGATTGGCCTTGGGTGAGTGGCGTCACTGGTTGGAGGGGTCGGCACAGCCCTTCTTGGTCTGGACGGATCACAAGAATCTCGAATATATCCGTTCGGCCAAGAGGTCGGTCAAGGGGTGCAAGTGCCAGGAAAGTGCCCGGCGGGCAGGTTGCCGGTGCCGGCTGTGCTGCGCCCCGAAGTCCTTCAGTGGGGTCACGCGTCCAGGCTGGTCTGCCATCCAGGGATTCGGAGAACGTTGTTTGCCATCCGTCAACGCTTCTGGTGGCCCACACTGGCCGCAGATGTCAGACAGTTTGTGTTGGCCTGCCCCACATGCGCCCAATGTAAGCCAGTGAATCGCCCTCCCGATGGTCTGCTTCATCCCCTCGTCTTGTGGATGGCTCCCCTGCCTATACGGTTAGGAGATTACTTGACGAGTGGCGCCGTGGCAGAGGGTTTCAGTATCTTGTGGACTGGGAAGGTTATGGTCCAGAGGAGAGATGCTGGGTACCGTCCCGGGACATTTTGGACCGTTCGTTGATCGAGGACTTCCGTCGGCGACAAGGTGGGCCTCCTCCTGGGGCGCCTGGTGGCGCTCCTGGGAGGGGGGGTACTGTCGGGTCTCGGGTCTGATCACCTGTTTCTTGTTGTCTCTGTGTTTGTGTGTTGTTGTGCGTGGTTGTTTTGACAGCTCGCCACGTGCGCATATGTCAGCATGATTGTTTCCCCGCCCTCCTTGTTATCTGCTCGCCCCTTGTTTCACACCTGGTTCTGGTCTTCTCATTAGCTTCTCCTTATAGCTCCTCGTGTTTCTCTGCCTTTTGTCAGATTGTTGTGATTATTCCCTTGCTCTGACTGTCTGTGTTAGTATCATTTACCGGTCCTGTCTTGTCTCGTCCAGGCTCCAGTGCTCATAGCTGCCTGTGTTATTTCCCGCACCTCTCTGTGCGTTCAGGAACCCGTGGGCTTCCTCCGGCATCCGCCTACCCTGGGACTCTGCAGTCTCATTGTTGGGTTGCTCAGCCTCACGCTCGGATTAGCGAGCTGCCCTGTTGGCTTCGTCTCCACTTCCGCAGTTGCGGCTTGTTCCAGTCGCTCCTATCCACCCATCTGTGTGGTAGGGGATTCAACGTCCACACGAACTCACCGCGAAGGCGCTCATCGCCCGTTGTGATAACTCTCTGTTCAATAAAGCCTTTGTTGTACCCGCACTTGAATCCAGCCTATTTCCTGACATATAAGTGTGTGCAGCTCTGCTAAGCTGTGGAAACTTCTCTCCTCTGGCTACTTAATCACACCAAAATGATGGACTTAAAGACATCATGTTGATTGGATTGTGATTGTTTCACTGAAACTTGGTTTTCATCACATCTATTTTTTGTTCTTATGTTGTGTTTTACTTCTTTATGTATTTATTCATGTTCAATGTCAATTGTCATTCATTAATGTATTCAGCTAATAACTGTTGTTAAGAGCACTGACAATTTTGCATGTTAATAAAAACATAATTCACACAACACGCTGCTGTTGTGGTTATTGTTGTTGTTGTTTTAATGTAAAACCCTAACCGAGGCTACACTCTAAGATGCCTCATTACTGATTTTCTGGAGCTCAGCAATCCAACTACACAGACTGTCGGCACACTCTCAACAGGTAAATCATTTCTTTCTTAAAATGTCTATAAATTATAACTTTCAAATGCTAATTGGTTTCCT